CAATATGCGTTTTTGCTGCCTGTTGCAGCGCTCTAGCGCTGCACGGCAAAAACGCATAAAAAGCGGAAAAAACGATTGGCTAAAATAGCCCCAAGGATGACATCCAAGTCATTAAAAATAACAATTTTCCCCGTCAAAACTTCTATCAAGTCGCACGTGTTACCTGGGAGCACGGGAAGGCCAAATTTAAATATGTTGGGTCACATTTGGGCGGGGAACATTACTCTAAATTTTCAGCTTCCTAGCTTTTGTGGTTCACGAATTGAAAACTGTGGAGAAGATGCATCGGATGCACACACCAACACACACACACAACCCCGTGACAACATGCGTTTTGTGTAGCGGTCGCATAAAAAAGGGATATGTCTGCCCATGCAGCATGAAAAAATTCAATTACGTAAATACAATAGACTAAAAACAGAGAAAGATGTGAACGTTGCCCAGCACTAACTGTGTGAAATACAAACTGGTATTTATGCGATTGTTTGAAATGAGCGGAATAAGAAATGTCAGGCATCTACAGGCTGCAATACATAACCAACAGCGGGTTGTGTTGACGCTCTGATGTAAAAAAAAAAAAAAATCCCAATAAAGGAGATGTATTCCAGGGAAAGAAACTTGGCCAATCATAAGAACAAAAGTAACAACAGACGGACGAAATAAACTTTTGAATGGTATTCGCTATGCTTAAAAATCAGCAGAAAGGCCATGTTGAGTCGACAACCAGCTTAGAGTGCCGTGAATAAGGAAAGCACAAGGTCGCAACGGATGGGGAAGTTGTAAAATGTGTAGATAAATGAAAAAGCTACAAAAATGCGCAGAAAAGTGAAAAGCCAAAGCACGGATGATTAACAGGTATTTCAGAAGTTTGGCTATCACATGTTATTGATAACAACCTGTACCACATAATATTCAAAATAAGCCAAGTTTTAACACTTTTCAGTAAAAATTCCTAAAACTTACTTTGCAGATTGCCGCTAAGCGAATTCCACCGACTTCAGGCAAGCAAACGATAACCAAACGTCCTGGTGATAGGAATTTTTCGAATGACGGCAATGGGAACAGCTCTGACCAGAGATTTGCACGAAAATGCAAGAATGCTTTTAGCTTGTCATAATAATCAACGATTGTCTGACGTCCTTCCGGGAAACAACTCGAGCAATCCAGTTCTTTTTTGGTGGCCAGTAATTCATCCATCTAAAACTTGGCATCAATGGAGAAACAAACCATAGATCAGCAGTTGCTACAGTCGCTTCTAATAGTTCTTACCTGTTTCAAATATGTTTTTCGTGCCAGTGCTTGCCTCAATGATGCGCTTTCCACGTAGCTTCTTTGCAGCATATCTTCAATGCTCAAATGCTCCACACGTAACAAATTCAGAAGCATCGTATAGGTTACCCGGAAACGTGACTCCAATTTCGTCGGTTTACCCTTAAACAATATTAGGTGGCAATTTTCGGCAAAAAATGAAGGGATCTGTGGCGAGTGAAATAAAAAAACCGCAAGGAGAGTTTGAGTATTCCACGTACTGGAATGCTTTTATAAGTCGCGTGCTGCTACTGTAATGCTACAATTCAATTTTCCTCCTCTCACTAATCCTTAACATTTCGACCTATTTCCCTCCACTCGCTGATTTCTAACAGTTCCATCAAATTCTAGATAATTCCATATTATCTACCTTCTCACTCAATAACTAACTTACCCTCTTTTTCCCTCCACAAATTTTCCCTACATGGACCTCTTTCTAAAACCCACTCTCCTAGTTTTAGAAATCAACAAACGCCATTGGTCCGTTACGTTCTTGCACTATTAACGCTACTAGCGTCTCGCCTCAACACCACCAGCACCCTTCTGCTGGACAGCTCGTGCGGCGCCCCGGCTCGTTGTTTTAAGCGTCGTTCCATTCGTCGTTTTATTTGAAGCGAAGCTTTTGTTGGAAGTATAAAGTGCTGGCATTCTTCCCTGTCTTCCGCTGCTGTAGTCAAGGACCAGGTGTGGACCTAACATCACGCTAAAATCTTCGATCCTGAGCTGCAAGCAGATTGCAGCCTCCAGGTTAACCTTGGAAGTGCAGATGGCAGAATGTGAAAGAGTAGGAGGAAGTAGTAGTGTAGACTGAGGAAGGTGAGAGCGAGATAAGACGTTTCGGTCCATTAAGTCATATACGTCTTAAGTAGCCTTCAGTTAGTATCCCTCTTCTTTTTGTTAATATGTGCGCCATCTCTTCGGAGACCATCCAAATGCATGTCTTTTTTCTCTCTTTCTAGCGGAGACAAATAATCGAAACAATAAATTTGAAAAATAAAAAATAAAAATAAAAAATTTGCGAACAACATACCATCATACAGTTGACAAGATCCAAATATTCCGGCATATGAGCACCTTTGCAGAGTACAATAACTGTACCGGTTGCGTCTAAACCTCGTCGGCCTGCTCGTCCAGCCATCTAATAAATGTAGGAACAATATTTTCCACCCAAAAATAAACTATCAACAAAAAAAAGGCAAAAAATTTTCACTTCTTCAATTATTAAAGGCAAAATTCCATCCGAATTCATTTGTATTTGAGTGAATAAGCTATAAAAAAATCGAAAAACTGGCCTAGCCCATACCTGTATGTATTCACCAGGATTCAGCAAGCGCATCTGATGGCCATCATGCTTTAGCAGTGCATCGAAAATCACTGTACGAGCCGGCATATTAACACCCATTGCAAATGTCTCCGTTGCAAACAGTACCTAAAAACAGCAACGAAATGAACGGAAAATCAATTAATATCTTAGAAAACGTTGCCATTTTCCTCTTTAGAAAAACGGACGACGGAGAGAAACAAGACTTGGCAAGGTGTCAAAGAAACAGACGAACTGCCGAAGTGCGATGTATTGTAACAGGCCGATGACAGTTTGTCAGTAGATCTAAGGCAATCTTTCAAGTTGTGCCCCATTTCACCGTCCGTTTTTACATATCACCTTAAAATATCCCCGTTTATTACTTTGAAAAAAAAGGAATTTTT